GTTTATACACTGAAATGAGTTCCCGGATATAGATAGGAGATTGGCCATGAAGAGCTTTAAAAGTAAGTAATAGGATTTTATATTTGATTCTAGATTCAATTGGTAGCCAATGCAGATTAACATCATGACATTCATCACAACCATCATCATCATCCTCACCACCACCACCAACATCATCATCACCATTATATAATCACCATCACCATCATCATAACCATCATCATTATCACTATCATCATCATGTACAACGTTAAAACTCGAATGTGAGGGCGCCCTACTTACGTAAACTTATCGCTCATTTCTTTTAACGTTTTTTCTGCTTCATCCAGACGACTTCCTAAATGTGCGTTTTCCTGGGTTTTTTCCTAAAGAAGAAAACAACTTAGACATGAAAATAAATTGAAATACTGAACTTGGTCTTCTGTCTACTATATGCACAGCTATGCTGTTCGTCACTTTTCCCTTGCTACTTTTCGGCTCTAGTGGGTGTTTCTGCTAACTTCTCAGTTAGGTCTATCTATTAGACTTTCTCTGTTGTATAACAGCACGGTACAATCACTAGAGGCTCCAAACATGAGATGACATGAGATGAGATTAAAGGCGACGCATTAGCAGCGCGAACCATCCCTGATTCCGTAGTAAGTCTGTTGACACTGATTTGACTATTCAGAGTCGAAGCCAGACCGAATGGTTTACTAAGGCAAACGAGCGGTGAAGGCGAAAGCATTTATTGGGTTCGGGGAACTTTGAAATTGAGACCATCAGAAACGCGATTTCCAGAATTACGTTGAGTGTTTGGGACACTTTCAATTCAACTGCCTCGCTTGCCTCACAGTGGCCACGGCCCTGCTATTGAAGCGGACGTAAACTCAAACACTGTTCCACGAAATAATAATCGATTATAAAGTCATTGCGATCTTCAAATAAAGTTTAATCGACGGCTTTGGTTATACCGCACGGGTTTCTAGGCTTGCTTCTCTGCTCTTTAGGTCCCAAGCGTAGCACTAATACACTCGCCTTTAACTGGTTATGGGGTCTCGTTTTCTAGTTTTCGTTTTCGTAAATTATCTCGGATTTTCCTCCCTCATCAAAATGCAACACGCTCATTTCAATTCGATCCAGGTTGACTTAGCTGGAGCCTTGGCGCAGATCAACTCAAAGATGCTGTTTTAGGGTATCCATACGTCATTCTTCTAATGGCTGACGAGCGCAAGAAAAAGAGGTCACCCAGTCATCTTGCAAGGCTGAGCAAGGCTGCTCATTCAAAATAAAGTTGGATAGCGCGAATTCAGGTCAAAACAAAAGCATAATTTCTATACTTTTCTTCTATATAGACCCCTTGCGGCACTTTGGAATGCTGCTCCCGGAGGGGGTACTCTTGCCCGTTGTTTAGGGTAGGGATGTGCCGTTGAGCCCTCTGAATCCTGACACTGTTCTAGAGTAAAAATCGCTGAAATTCATACTCTGTTCCAGAGCAAGATCGCTGATAACCCTGTTCTAGAAAGGAGAGAGCGTGATTTCATATACCCCGTTCCAGAGCTATAGCGCGATTTTATATACCCTGTTCCAGAGAAGAATCGCTGAAAACCATACCCTGTTTGGCAGCACGTACCCGTATAGCGAATATAGGGGAGTACCCCCCACCCCCCCCCGGGTGCTGCTCAATCTGGGGGACATAACAATAGGTTCCAATTCTCAGGGGATTGGAATTCTATTATTTTGATCCCCACATCGAGCTGCTTTGACGTCACATGCAAGGGGTCTATAAACGCATTCCATCAGTACCTTTATATATTTTATTGTGAATTAATGGCCGGCGGGTGACCTCATTTTCTTGCACTTAACAGCCATTATGAGAATGGTGTATAAACTTTGAAGGTTGATTTAGAAAGTGAGTGCGTATTATATATTTCTTGACTGACTGTAAAACGAAGGGTTTCGATACAAGGAATTTTGATGTGATTTCATAACAATAAGTCGTACCTTCATAGCTTTTCCTCTTTCGAGAGCCAGTTGAGCAAATTCATCTCGATCTTTCTGTAATTCACTCATTTTATCCAGTTCACTTTGCACAACTTTCTTTAATGATGCGATCTTTTCTTTCGACGTGTTTAATTCCACTAAAATTTTAAAAATCAAAGCGTTTAGTTTTCATGACTTTGGTTCAGTCAAATGTAAAGGTAAAGGACTCTCACTGCCCTGCCCTGCCCTGCCCTGCCCTGCCCTGCCATGCTTTGCTCTGCACTGCTCTGCCCTGCCGCTCTGCTCTCTCTGCATGCTCTTTTCTGCTCTGCTTCCTCTTCTCTGCCGGCTCTGTCCTGCTTTGCTATTGCTCTGCTTTTCTCTGTGTCTGCTCTGCTCTACCGCTCTGCTCAGTCTTTTCTGCTCTGCTCTGCTCTGCTCTGCTCTGCTTCAATTAAAATATTCATTACTTACTAGTTGAAGTTTCCTCCATTTTTGTTATTTTTTCTTCCAACTCATTCTTTTCTTTTTTTGACTTTTCTGCCAACTTTTCCATGTCTTCATTCATTTTTCTGCAGTAAGAGCAAATACCATTAACTAAGTCAAAAATTCTTTCCATTTTGTTTTGTTAGATATACGTAAAAAACGTTAACAAATTACTATTCAAAAAGATTCCCATAAAATCAACGTTTATTAGTACTGTTATGAATTATTTTATCATTCAAAAATACAGTTCTTTACCTTCTTTCATCATCTACAGAAGAATACTTCTCTCGCATTCTTTCAATCTCTTCTCGTAACGTCTTTATCTCTTCGTCTCTCTTTTTAACTGTCTCAGCAAACAACAGCTTGTTTTCGTGCCCAAGTCTTTCGTTTTCACGCCGTAACTTTTCATTGTGAATCTTATATTCATCCTTAATGGCAATTATTTCTTCATGGTTCGAATTCAGTACATCGAATCGTTTCTGTAGTACGTTATATTTTCTTGTTTCGGTCTGTAGTGCTGAAAGAGCGTCTTCTCTCGTTTTTCTAAATTCCTCTATATCTTTTTCCAGTTTCATAGATTTCTTGAGCGATTCGTCTGCTCTTTGTTTCAAGATACAAATGAGTTCTGATTGTTGGTCGATCCGTGATCTTAACATAGCATTCTCTGATAGATCGTCCTTGCTAAGGGCTTTTAACTTCTCTAGATTCGCTCTCATCTCTTCAGCATTCTCTAGTTCGTTGTTCTGAAAAGTCAATGCAATCAAAAATGCTGAGGTTTTAGCCATATTAAACACAGAAAAACTTTTCAAATATACTATCAATAAACTCTACACACTAGCTGCGACTCTAACTTCTTTTAAGAGAAACATTGAAGACTTAATATTTAATATATAAAAACAATTAACAACAAAAGAATACATATATATATATATAAATATATATATAAATACATAAGAATACAATAAAGACTAATAATATCTAAAACTAATAACATCTAAAAAACCATAAAAAACAAAAGAATATATTTAATTTATTTTTATTAGATTAAATGTTAGCAGAGGTGCTAATAGTATGTACTTACACTAATGACTTGGCTAAGTAGATGAAGACTGAACAACGAACAGAAAATTTCAATGAATAATTTACTCAGGATAAATAAGTGAAACAAGTGTTTAAAATTATCAATCTCATTAAATTTTCTTACATACACCTACTTGCAAAAACGTTGTTATACGAAAATAGAACATTAGTGATTTAGTGGGATAGGAATCACATTAAAAAACAAAAGAAGATCTGAAGCTGAACTTTTTCTTTTGTCTTTTAATGAATTCCTTTCTCACTAAATTACAAATGTTCTATTCTTGTAGGAAAACCTCCTTGAAAGTAGGTGTACATCACAGTTCCACTCAAAGGATCCCAAAACCAAAATGTTTAAAAACTTTATTGGAGGATGTGAGTATTTTTTGCTATAATTTATGTATCAACGAGGACATAAACTGTTTTTTACATAATAAGACATATATGGTTGTGAAGTAGTTTTAACGTTTTTATTTTCTTAATGACAATTTTTACCTTAATGTCACTACTTTCTTTATATATGAATAAAGTAATGTCTATCCAATGTTTTTCAAATTCATAAGTAATTTCGAATTTACAATAATCTATTACATTCTTTCATATTCTGATGCAGGACATTTTCTTTTTAAAGATAAAATAATAAATAATAAATACATAATAAATAAATAAATAAAGTCATGAAATAAATAAAAAATAAATAAATAAAGTCATAAAATAAAGGAAATAAAGTCATGCTTTAAATCTGCTCTTAAGACTTATTACAATATATTAAATCATTTATACCTCATTTACACTTCTAAATAAATTATCAACACTACCATTACTATGTATCTAATGTACAATTTGCATGATTAACACAAATTTATCATAATTACTTCTTTATATTTAAAGACTTCAAGATCATTACGACCACATTATGAAAAAATTATAGAAAAACATCACAAGTTCTCAAATTACACTAGTATTCAAGACCTTAATTTTACTTTTGGAACATAGCTGCTATGCAAAGGCCCATGGGCTTATAAACACCTTGTGAATGAAACAACAGTGTTTGGGATTTTATTTGAAGGAAATTCATTATGGACAATTAAGCTAGTTCAAGGTAAAATTAATAGAATGTTGTAAAATAAATTCTGGCTTAGATGGTTGCCCGCTAAATAGAGGTTGGCCGCTTAAATTAGGTCAAAAACTCTTTTTGGGACTATTGACAACTGGTTGCTAAATAGAGATTGGCTGGTATTATTTATAGTGTAAAATCCCATGCAACTACTGTATGACTAGTTGTTGCGTATCTCTACTGTTTTGTAAGGTGGAGGTGCCTTACTCTGAATCAGGAGTTCGATACTAATATATATATATATATTTATTTATTTATTAGAGGCTCCCAGCTGCCCCTTCCTCTCCTATAGGCTTGCATTGCCAACAAAAAGCCAAAAATATTGGGGGTTGGGGGATTCACCCCTCCCCTAGTTACAGCCCCTAGTTACAGCCCCTAGTTACAGCCCCTAGTTACAGCCCCTTATTACAGCACAGTAATTGGAATTTAGAACAAAAAAATTCCTTGACTTGTGTACCATGTAACCTTTTGAACTAATACTTAGTTATCTTTGAGAAACTTTTCTGATGAGAAAGCTTTCTGCTTTTCACTTGAATTTGCAAAATAGGACGTTTGCATGATGGCGTCATTGACCTCTACTACCAGACTCCCTTGCACACTTTCTTTTGTTCAGTTAATTAGCACCAATTGTCTTACTATTCTCATGAGGGAATACAAATTTAAATAAGAAAGAAAATTCGCAAAGCATCTTGGTAGTGGGAGTCAAATGACGCCATCATGCAAACGTCCTATTGAAGTGTTTGTTGATACTGAATAAGATATTACTTTAAAAAATTAAAATCTGGATTATAAAAATAAAAAACATGGCCATTACCTATATTCCCTGCTAGCAGAGTCTCTACTAGAAGGGAAGTATGTAAATAGGTGTTATTAATCTGTTTAATAAATAGTAGAGAAAATAACAGCAAAATTTTCACATTTCAAAATAAATAATTTCCATAAAAAATTTAATATAAAAGGTAATAAATATAGTTTACATACAGCTTAAATATGTACATCATAGATCTTATCACAATGGCAATTACCTTAAGGAAAATAAAAAAATCACATTACAGGATGTAAGCTTAAAGCTTTTAATGAGTTTCGTTGATTTTCTGTTTTAAATTTAAGGATTTAACGTCGATAAAGAAGAAATACAGACATATTTTATTCTGGTAGCCAAGTAACGCCAATAAAACCACAAAACAAAACATTTTATACCTGAACAGCTCTGATCATCTTACCTGATGGGATTTGATGATTGCTGGTAAATCTTTAGGAGATCTGTTGTTTCCACTACTGGCCGCCATAGATTCAATAAAATATAAATAAAACTTTGAAATTCTAAATATTTTTTGTGACAAGTTAGTACAAAAGTCGTGAAGCCGTCAGAAAATTGATTGGATACGGTTATAAATGTTGTGATCTTCGAAGCAATTGGTTTATATTTTGTAGAAAGCAGACATCTTTATACATCAATCAAGCTTCAAGAAGGTCTTTTTTGAGGTATTTTGAGGTTTAAGTCAAGTATTTTTGTGGATTATTTGACGAGCTTTCGAAACCCCCAAAAACAAGCAAACAAATGGACAACCGCTGACTGATTACCACAGGGAGCCCAAGCTGGATCTAATAGATTAGGTGATTTAGCATATTATGAATGTGTGTAGCGAAGAATCATTCTTTCCCTATTTCAATAATATTCAATGATGAAGTCTTTTTTTGGCATTGATATCTTGTTTTTGCCGCTTTCATCTTTGTGGCTGAGATTTGGCACCATTAGATCGTTTTTTAATAAACATAAAATATCACCGTATAATAGAGTATTTTCAAGTTTAATCCAGGCCACCAAATGGAAAAAATAACGTTACTAATACGCGCTTGATATCAGTGACACAATAATTCATGAGCTTTGCGTTTTTATTTCATTGGCGGGCATGTTTTTATTCAGTCAGTCTCTGAACAATTTTCGCAGGTTTCACAGGCTTTATGACATCTCAGTTCGCAGTGACGTTCTTCACTAAGTCACTCTTCCAGGTCAGTTGGCCAGCTGACCTGAGAGAAAATGTTAGCCAATCAGAATCGAGAATATTTTCAAAATTGAAGTGTTACTTTTTTCTCTTGAAATTATGGGTTTGGCCCACCAATCGAAAAAAATAAATAATAATAATAATAATAATAATAATAATAATAATAATAATAATAATAAT